AAATTAGTATAGGTGTCTTTCTTGAACGGTCGTAGGCTTTCAACAACATCGCCCATGAGATGCTGCTCTGCAAGTTTATGCACTACGGGATCTGGGGAGTCAGTCTTCAGTGGTTCCGAAGTTATATCTGTGGAAGACAACAGTATGTCCATGTAGAAGGGCTGAACTCTGATATTAAAATCTCAGAAACTGGTATCGGGACCACTTCGCCCAAGCTCGAGGCCGAGCTGGTCGTATCACAGCCGACCCCTCTCACCCTGCACATGGACTATTCCAACCACTCCCCTCAGGCAGGAGACTGCGGTCCATCAGGACTAGAACCTCCCGCCACAAGAACAGTTTCTTCCCCTCTGCTGTTGGACTCTTGAACACTTCTTTACCTGTCCCCCGCCCTTTATAAAGTCACTTTACTGCCCATCATACGTCACTTTAAGATAAGATAAGAATTCCTTTATTCGTCCCACAGTGGGGAAATTTCGATTAGTTAGTTAGATTTCGACAGTAGTAAGAGCACACAGGGAGCACACACAATATATACAAATAAGTAGTAGCTATGTTTCTTAACTAACATAACTAGCTGTAGATGTAGAAAGAACTACGGAACCTCTCCTTCACACAGCGAGGGTGAATTAGTCTGTCACTGAAACTGCTCTCCAGAGCAGAGAGAGTGTCCTGCAGGGGGTGACAGTCATGGTCCAGCATAGATGTTAGTTTGCTCAGGACCCTCCTGTCCCCCACCTGCTGCACTGTGTCCAGGGAACAGCCCAGGACAGAGCTGGACTTCCTGATGACCTTGTCCAGCTTCTTCCTGTCCCTCTCTGTGATGCTGCTGTTCCAGCAGATCACACCGTACAAGATGGCTGATGCCACCACAGAGTCATAGAAGGTCTTCAGGAGTGGCCCCTGCACTCCAAAAGACCTAAGCCTCCTCAGTAGGTAGAGGCGACTCTGGCCCTTCTTGAAGAGGGTGTCTGTGTTATGAGTTCAGTCCAGTTTGTGGTTCAGATGAACACCCAGGTACTTGTAAGAGTCCACTCTCTCGATGTCCTTTCCCTGGATGTTCACTGGAGCTGGAGCGGCAGAGTGACGTCTGCGGAAATCCACCACCATCTCCTTGGTCTTCCCCGCGTTGATGAGGAGGTGGTTCCGCTGACACCAGTCCACAAAGTTTTTTACTTCACTGTACTGCTGTCACCTTACATTGTGTGCACCATGTGCACTTGTATATTGTAAATAGTAACTGTAACTCTATTTTAAAAGTGTTTTTTATTCTTTATTTTTTATTATCTCTTTCTGACTGTTGCACTGAGCCAAAGAAATTTCCAAGTCTGTGACTTCCTGTTACCTACGTGGAAATAAAAATGATTCTGATTCTATTTATTTTGTATGTAAATGATTGTGTATTCTGCACTAATGACTTGCACAAAGTAATCTTCGCTGATGATACAAACGTCTTTACATCTCATAAAAACATAAGAATTAGAAAAACAACTAAATTACCAATTAAGAAAAATAAAAATACAAAGAATATTGATAAATAGTATTAGAAATGAATATACCATTAATAACAAAAAGAAAATGAAAATTCATGGAAAAAATGATAACATGTATGACACAAACACGATCTCTGAAAGTGTGTGCACATGAGTGTGTGTATATAAACTGAAACTGAAACTAAATATTAACAAGAAAATGTCTGCTTCACTTGTTGTCCAGGGTAGCTAATACTATTGCACAGTCTCTGGTTTGTCCTGACATTAGCTCGGTCAGGTTTACTTCTAAACTTTGGAGTCACTGCCGTGCTTCTTTGTTTGTAAATCTTGCTGTAATAAATGAATTCATAAATGATTATTATATGTGTATTTAATACTGCTCTTCATAAACTTTTCTTAGGTTATACTTAACTATGGATCCTGTGCTTGCAAGTCCTTTATAAAAGCTAAATAAATAACAAAGGCTGCAGGCCAGTGTTCTAGGAGAAGAGTGTGAATGTACAATGTACTGTACATTTAAATTCCTACATTATCATATCTTATTTCGGCCTATTTTGTCTCACAGCTATTGTCTGACCCTGGACCAGAACCTGACTTTCAAACATCATGTAGAGGAACTTAAGGAACACTTATAAGTGGAATTTGATCAACTTCAGATACAGTCAGGGGTCACTCACCACTGAGGCATCCCATCTATATCTGAACTGTATGATCCTGCCACATGTTTTGTGTTGTGCCTTGAGCTGGTCTCAGGGCTGTAAAACCACTCTGGGCCCCCTCGAGTCACTGAGGATTGTTTTAGAGAAAGAGGATTATATATAGAGAAGAAAAAGTTGTCAATGCAAAGCTGTCAGACTTTTGGGAGCAGACTAGCCTTGTAAGAGGGTTAAAGCTTAACAGTGTGATAAGGTACCATAGAAAGAAAAAGTCTTGTGTTAGAAGAACATTGAAGCAGCTAAGACAGGGATTTAGTGATCAAAACAACTAACTAACAAATACAACTTATATTACGAGTGGTATGCCGTTTCCTAACTAAAATAATTTATTGTTTCTCATAGACTCAATCTTTTCTTTTTTTTTTAGAAACATATTGACATTTCAGATGTACAACTGTAAGTCTGATGGGTGTTGTATTGTTGATTTCCTTTTGTGATGGTAAATCATTGTTTATGGTGGATCTCAAGTGGATGTCAGACAGAACAGCCTCAGAGAAATATTCTATCTATTAATTTGGATGAGAATGACTGTGGTTTAATGCCGGTCTGACATCGACTACATCGTTATTGGATATTTTGAATTACCGTCTTTACAATGTTTGTTGAGTGGTTTGGAGGCCGGCCCTTATTCATGCATGTTTGTTACTTGCTGTAGAACGGTGAGGGCCTTTGATATGTGCTAAGTGTTCTATTATCGATGAATTATCATTATGACATTCTGGTGATAATGTAAGGCTAATAATATCCGTCAGCCTCGTCACAGACGAGATAGATGGCATTTCTAGTTACCCATTATGTGCCAAAAATTCTTTTTGGCCACGCAGATAAAAGATAGAGTCCTGAAAACGTATTATAATTTTAATGGACAAATTATCTACATTGTAGTTAAGTTACGTCTATTTCCCCCATTGTCCATTCTTTGCCATTCTTCCTGGGTCGCTATGGCTCTGTCAGAACGTGGTTGCATAGTAATGGACCATCTGCAGATATTGATTCTTTTTTTTTTGTAATGGCCTAGTTCAGGATTTTGCTTTTTGTAACATTTTTTTTAGTGGGTAGAGGAAAACAAGAGCAACCAGAAGAATACCTACGCAAATGGCTGTTGACTCAGTGGTCATCCCACAAGAGGACAAATAAAAATCAATACAGAAATAACTAAAAGGGGTGAAGTGGAAACGTCTGTTAGATGCCAAGATGATGCACTGAAAGCGATGATTTTTTTTTTCTTTTTTCTTCCCATTTTTTTTTTCGGGTGGGGCTTATAGTTGCTTACTTTGGTACTAAAACAAGTAGCCTTTATGTGATTTTTTCTTTTGCAATCAGAATAGGATTATTGTACAATTCACTATCCATTTATGAAATCAAAAAAAGACAAAAAAAAAAAAAAAGACAAAAAATAAGTTGAAATCAGAAAGTCACGCTCTGCCAACAAACTATCTAACTATCTTAAATTAAAATCATCTGACACCATCATGGGAATCGACGCAGTTAGATAATCGTGGGCTCGAGCCGTGGTTGTGAGCAGAGGATAGAGGGATAGTCAGCTGGATGGACAGACGCGACAGGTGCTCAGGGAAGCTAAGAGTGACACTATGACGTTGAAGCGGATGGATTGTGCACGCCTCTGAGCCCACAGAGATCGAGGGTGTTTGTTACATCAAATGGGATGCACACATTCATGCTGTAAATCCATGACTGGATCAAGGTAGACCGGAGATTCTGCAGGACAGGACACCGGTGTGGGGTATGAACTGTGAGGTGAGGACAGCTATCATGCACGCAACAGGAGAAATCTAAGTCAGAGTTGGATTCATGAATGCCTTACACAGATGATAGCATTTTGACCCCAAACTGTAAGACCACAGTGAAATACCATAGGAAACCAAATGTAGGAATACATTAGGAAAGAGAAGTGCATAAAAGGCTGAGGAGGGAATTCAAATACATTATTTTTCATTGATTGTTAAACAAGTACATGGCTATGGAAAGACCTAATGTAGTAATTGAAGAGAACCTGTAGGTTAGGAGGAAGAGCACTCAGATAATTAAACTACGGGGTGAAAAAACAAATGGAGGCCAAATGCAAAACTGTAAAAAATTATGTATTAATAAATTGAAAATAATCCAAAAACACAGGGAACAAGGACAGAACTATAAAAGACAAGGGATGACAAATATGACGACGGAACAGGGAGTGAAGGAACACACAGGGCTTAATTCAATGCTAAACGAGACACTGGTGAGGACAGATGAGGGCGGGGCAGGTAATCAAACAGGAAGTAAAACCAAAGCAGACACAGGGATATAACAAACTACAAATAAAACAGGAAATCAATCTTAAACCATGACAAAAACATTAAAACTCCAGGTCTCCGGTTTCCCCTACACTAAAAACATGTACAATATAGGTTCTGGTATGTGCCTCTGTATGGGACCCGCTCCATCTTGTGTGGGTGAGAGACAAATGTAACAATTGTAAAGCGCTTTGTAACTCCAGTCTGTTAAAGGCGCTATATAAATAAGATTACTTACCTACTGCTCACGTTTGATATTCATGTTGTATAAATAATACTATGTTAAAAGTTGCACGCGTTTGCTTTTTTTCCCCTAGACAGTTGTACTTATGTTTTATTTTTCCCAAAGCCCTTCTATCAGATATACCATCTGCCCTGTGATCTATGTTCACTGTAAGAAGTCACTGCAAAGCACATCTCTGTTCGAAAGATAGTTTCAGGACACTACTGTAGAAGAGCTAATGTTCTATCAAAGCCGGCATCAAGGGCGCTGAGTAATGGAGAAAACGGGCTGTCCTCCCCCCTTCCTCCCTGGCCTCCTTGTGCTTGATGTATCCACAGGCAAGAGGTAAGTGCATGATTAATAAAGTAGCTGCACTCTTGCCCATTAATTCGGGTCTCTGGCTGTGGTCTGATAGGCATTAAAGTATGTTGAGGAAGTGGATGACTGCAAAGAGGTATAAAACTGCTGTACAAGGAAGGAACACAGCCAGTGGGGTTTAGTAAAGTTTTAAATGTTATCACATTATCCATATGAATGACTCATGATGAATATAATCCATATAATAAAAGGCCAAGTGCAATTTGTGTAAGTAAGTAATCTTTAATTCATATACCATAATTACAAACTGAGAGTTACCAAGAGCCTGGCCAATTATGTGGGGGGGGGGGAAACCCCCAAATTTTTTTTTCTCTTTACTGCACACAGTGATGCGAGTTCGCCATTCAGCGGCCATGCACTGCCAGACCTATTGTACATGTTATAAGTGGTAGGAGAAAGGAGCACCCAGAGAAGAAAATATGCAGACACAGGGTGAAAAAGCAAAACTCCACACAGAACGGCCCCATCTGGTGGTGGAATGAACCCATAGGACCGTCTTGCCACTCACCACCCTTTGTGTGGGAGAGTCGGTAAAGGCAGTGCTTGACAAGGCCTTTCTATGTATACTTAAAATAATAAAAGCTGTTGTGAAATGGATTTGAAGTTTTTTTTTTTCTTGATGACTATCTCACTCTTTTTCATAACAGATGTACAGCTACCCTCTATATGTTCAGTGATGCGAATAACGGCGTTACTAGTAACGGCCGTTACTAACGCCGTTACTTTTTCTTCAGTAACGAGTAATTAACTGTATTACTTTGACAGTAACTATAACGCCGTTATCATTTTCTGACATCCGTTACTGCGCGATACTTAAGACGCACAATGAAGTGTTGTATGAGAGAAGGGAGGGATGAGAAAAAATAGGCAATTATTGGCTGATTGTACAACATATTTCTTTACAATCTACAGTTACGTTGAGAGGATGCTCATAAATTGTGTTTTTGAAAACAAATATGGTCTTAATCGCGCTCAACCACGGCTTGTTCACCGTGCGGTCAGCCACGAGTAGCGCATTGAGCGCAGAAGTCTGCTGCATACAATTCATCGATAAGCGCCTTTCTGCTTCCTTGGTTTATTGCTAAGAGCTGCAACAGGTTTGGCTAACATAATATAACACATTTTTTAGATGATTCTAAATTGCACTAGGGTAATTTTCAATTCCTATAGGAATGATAAAAGAGAGGTGAAGTGTAAGTCGGGTTGATTTTAGAATTGGGATGCACCCGGCTGCAGCTGCAAACACAGGAGTTTATGGAGGAACACTCGTTTGTTTTACTTTTTAAAACTCATTGGACTCATTTCCAATTGGAGGATTAAATATCTACGCCAAACTATTATTGGACTTAAACAAGGAATGGTCTGAAACGAAGGGATGTGCAGGTCATTTATAAGGTAGACCCATAACTCATGTTTTTCGTTTTGTATGAACAACAATGCGGGCAGAAACTTTCTGTTGTAGCCAAAACAAATTGTCCACTTGATTTATATGATGTATATGTTCATCTGATTGGACTGAAGTCAGTGCGTCCCGGTGTTTCCACATTCACAGTGGGGTGTTTGTGATAAGTTCTTACAGCACAGGAGAGGAGATGAAGAGTGAACAGGACTTCAGCAACAAACAGCCTTTTCTAGATGGAAATATTGGCACTATTTCAACTCACTGAGGTTAAGGTAAAAATGTGCAGTGGGTGCACTTATTTTGTTCCAGAACAAAACGAAAACAAGTATCGCATAGTTACTTTTTACTGGTAACTAGTTACTTTTTATGTGGAGTTAATCGTAGTAACTCAGTTATCTTTTTGGGAGAAGTAACTAGTAACTTATAACTAATTACTTTTTCAAAGTAAGTGCCCACACTGCAATGTTTATGCTAATTCTGCTATTTTCATGTAAAGCTGGGGTGCCCAACTTCAAAATACCAAAACATTTAATAGTGTGCCTGATTATTTCACATTTTAGTTATTTTAGACTCTTCCCGCTGGAACCAAAACTACTTTGCATGTTATGGTTTATGTGAAAATTTAAACAAACATAGTATTATTCAAGCCAAATAAATGTTGAATTAATATAGTTGTTTGTCATGGGTGTTTTCCGATCCTGAGTCACTAACTTAATAACCAGGATATTATTTATCTTTGTGCCCCAGACAGTGAGGATTTAAAGCGTAGAGATTTCTCTCCATCCACAGTGTAATGCAGATGAAACTGGAAACACTGCCTGGTCTGCAAATCCGCAAATGATCTCAATACTCTCTAAAGTAGTCGGCAGACATTACCCAATTGTCCTCCTGCCCTGGAAACACAGTTGCAAAATCTCAAAATAATCCAGTTCCCAGTGAAGTCCACACAATCTGATCTCCAGGTACACTGTTCTGTCTCTGTTTTTAGTGGTAGATGAAACACCCGTTTAATTGTGATTTGTACATTTTGATTTACTTGTAAATGTGTTTTTTAATAATTCAAAGTCTAATGGTGCGTTCAGACCAAACGCGATTTCTGCGGCCAAAGCGGCGGGTCTACATTGACACAACATGGGGGACGCGCGCCAAGGAGCGGCGAGAGATCACGCGGCGCGATTCGCGCGGCCAGAGCGGCGCGAATTCGAGCGTTTCGCGCGATTCGCGCGGCGTGTTTTGAGATGTCAAGCGTTTTGACGCGCGTTTCGCGCGATTCGTGCCTCCAACGCGGCCGCCGCTAGAGTTGAACAATGTTGAACTTTTTGGGAGAATTCGCGTGTGCCGACCAATCAGGAGCTTTCTCCTCCAGTGACGTAGTGACGCATTTCACTACCGGAAAAACACTGGTAGATGACAGCTATGGAGGACACGTCAATTGCTCAGGTCGGTGCTCATTCTGAGTACACTGCGGACCACAGCTACCGGGACCGAAATAAAAAAGAGCTTGCTTGGAGGAGGGTTAGCGAGGTGGTTGGTGTCTCGGGTAAGTTATTTTAACTTTTCAATGTTGTAAATATTTCCCCGCGAAAAAAACTACTACTTTCCTGCTTACGAGTTGATGTGTTTATTCAGTGGAAGTTTGCAAAAAGCGGTGGAAGAATCTGAGGGACACATATGAGGTGCTGAAGGTCGGTGTCATGCAGCAAACGGAGACCTCGAACAGTTGGAAAAAATACATTTCTTTCCTTTCTATTACCCACATTTTGCTGACTTTTAGCATTTATATTGCTTTCTGTGTATGCATTTCTTTTAATGCTTTCTTAACATCATGGCCAGGTGAAAATAGGCATTGGCTATTTTCAAACCAGGATAGATCTTGATCATGTGTTGTGTTAAATTTCACTTTTCCCTTTTATATGAACAAATCATTTAAATGTACATAATAATGTACATTATTATGTACATATAAATGTCATAAGCGCAATGTACACATGATATGAAATAATTGTATTTCTTGTTTTCTTCTGGCACAGACACTGCCACCACCACACAAGGTGAGACATCTTTGCCTGAGCTGCCTGCTGCTGCTGCTGCTGCTGCTTCCTCAGCCGGTTCTTCTTCTGTGAGGGCTGGATCTTCCCCTGCTTCTGCACCTACAGGTGTGGCTTTTTTTAATCATTGTTTTATTTTTATTCTTATTACAGGACTGTTCATATAAACAAAATGTTACTGCATAATATGCCAAAATTACCCAAGGGCTTTTACATCAGTGTAGACGACAAATTTACAGAGAAACGACAAGATGTCAAGGCACTACAGGTGGAAAGAAGCTTTGGTCTGATACAACACATCTTCCCTCTTTCTTTGATAAAAACATACTACTGAAATACCTTATGCTATAAAAGTACTGAACAAATACATGCAATGGTTGCCACAAGATGGCAGCTATCCTGTTTAATGCAGACAATAGAGTATTACTTTTTTACAGCCAATTTCAAATTTCATTGCGAAATACACTTCAGAGATATTAGTTTGTAACTGTCAATTTGTGCATGTGTGAGTAATTTCATTGATAACTGCAATGTTCAAGTTAATTGTAACAAACACACAACTTAAAAGTGTTTTACATGTGTTTAACTATGTCTACACACTCTGGCTTTAATACAGATATTATTTGCTCTCTTCATTTTGCTTTTTTGAAATACATGTTCCACTTTTTAACACTGTGATTGCCCTGTGTTCTTTGTTGGCGGCTCTACGGACGTGGGCCTCTTCCGAGCCCTCTTCCTTGGTGGGCCTTCAGAGTGGGAGCGGGAGCTGCTGGAGACTCTACGGACCAAAGCAGCCGGACCGCCCGACTACTCAGAAGAACATCAGTTCCTGCTCTCTCTCTTTCCTCTCCTGCAAAGGGTGGCACCAGAGTCAAAAGAATTTGTGAAATTCAAAATGTACCAACTTTTATATGAAAGCAGCACCGTTCTGCTTAATTTGGAACCATTGGCCAGTACAGTTTTTTTTACCTAAGGTGACACCTTTTGCAGGGGAGGAAACAGACATGTGTCCCTTTCCTCTTCCACCGCACCTCCTCCAAGCAAGCTCCTTTTCATTTGTTTATATGTACATTTCATTTCTTTTTCATTGTTTGTTACTTTTTTTATAAAGAAAATATTTTTCAAACCTCATGTGTTCTACTTCAAGCCAACCATTACTACCTTTCATATAATATTGACAGAAAATGCTATTCTATATTTGTACATTTACTTTTATAAGAGCTGACTGGGTTTTATAGAAGATGGAATAACAAACACTTAAAGAGCGATACAGTAGTTGACAGTATTTTTTATTCATTTCACCTTTTACTGTTTTAACAACCTTGTAATTATGGAAAAGCTTGAATGTGCATATGATTAACCTGAAGTTGGAGTGGAGTCGCAGTGGAGTCTGGCAGTCATTACCTAGAAACAGAAGGTATACAGGTGAATAGAATAGTGCAAATCAATATGGGTTTGGACTATGGCCAGATGTGGGTCAGTCTTGTGGTGGACATGACTACTCTGTGGGCTGCCACGGCAGTGCTCCCTCCTCACTGAAGTGGGCCATGAACACTTTCCTTATGTCCACTGCTGGCTTCCAGGCGGCCATCCGCTGCACGCCTGGAAGTGGTTCTTCACCGGCAGCAGCTCCCCTCGGTGCAGGAACCTGCCCATCTCCAGCCATCCTCATCCTCATCCTGGAGATGGGCAGGGCGCATTAAATTGCAGCGCAGTGAAAAGGCCTCATCTGCCACGAACACATGGGGCTGGGGTCCTCTGTGGTCAGCTCCAGGTATGCACTGGTCAGGAGGCAGGTCGAGTGTGCCCTCGCGCAGAGCCTCACCAAAGGCAGAGTTGGACACGATGCCTCCATCGCTGGATCTGCCGTACCCTCCCACATCAATCACCCTGAACCTGTACTGGGCATCCACTACAGCCAGGAGCACAAGGGAATGGTGCCCCTTATAATTAAAAAACATGGACCCAGAGTTGGGGGGTGCCTTCACAGCCACATGCTTCCCATCAATGGCCCCACAGCACAGAGGGAAGTTCCATCGGACCTCCACTCCTCTGCTCCAGGCACAGCCATGAACTCCTCCACGAGGCAGTCCCAGATGGCTGCCACCACATCTGGGATGAGCATGGAGACGGTGGATATGCCCGCTCTGAAGCTCCCCGCAATGGTCCTGTAGGAGTCCCCAGTGGCAAGAAACCTGCAATTACAAAATGATATGAACATATTTATCACAATTACATTCATAAAAATCACGTGACAAAACTTGTGTAGCATAAAATACGTTAAACTAGTAGACAGTAAACATCATAGACAGTAATCATAGACACCATATTGTTGCATAATACTGTTTTCTGAGCTATTACATTGTGGATTGTGATTGAAAAATGACACACTTTGTAAGTAGTTATGAATTCTGAATGGGGTAAAAAAACACTAACCGCAGACAGATGGACAGGCGCTCTTCAGCTGGAATAGAGCGCCTGTAGTTGGTGTCCTGGTAGGAGATCCTAGCGCCAATGCGGGTCAGTAGGTCGTCAAACTGAGCCAGGGAGAGAGACGAAAGTACCGCTGAAAGCGACCCTCATCCGAGCGCAGCTCCCGGAGCAAATGGTGAAACTCACCAAACTCCAACCGTCTACGGACTATCTGATGAATCCAGACACGTCGTCGATTCGCCCTTTGACGACGTGTCTGGCTTTATTTATCAGATAAAGCAACTCCTTCGCTGACATCCATTTTGGGAAGCTACAGGCAAAAGAGACAAGCCCCGCCCCTAAAACGCTCTCAACGCTCTGTGACAGCGGCTGCCCTCTAGTGTCCTGGCCGCGCGGCCAAGTTTCTCTGTGACAGCGGCTGCCACAATTTGTCACAAGCGGCCCAAGCCGCGCGATAGACGCGATTTGGCCGCAGAAATCGCGTTTGGTCTGAACTGCGTTCAGGGGAGCTGCGCTCGGATGAGGGTCGCTTTCAGCGGTACTTTCGTCTCTCCCTGGCTCAGTTTGACGACCTACTGACCCGCATTGGCGCTAGGATCTCCTACCAGGACACCAACTACAGGCGCTCTATTCCAGCTGAAGAGCGCCTGTCCATCTGTCTGCGGTTAGTGTTTTTTTACCCCATTCAGAATTCATAACTACTTACAAAGTGTGTCATTTTTCAATCACAATCCACAATGTAATAGCTCAGAAAACAGTATTATGCAACAATATGGTGTCTATGATTACTGTCTATGATGTTTACTGTCTACTAGTTTAACGTATTTTATGCTACACAAGTTTTGTCACGTGATTTTTATGAATGTAATTGTGATAAATATGTTCATATCATTTTGTAATTGCAGGTTTCTTGCCACTGGGGACTCCTACAGGACCATTGCGGGGAGCTTCAGAGCGGGCATATCCACCGTCTCCATGCTCATCCCAGATGTGGTGGCAGCCATCTGGGACTGCCTCGTGGAGGAGTTCATGGCTGTGCCTGGAGCAGAGGAGTGGAGGTCCGATGGAACTTCCCTCTGTGCTGTGGGGCCATTGATGGGAAGCATGTGGCTGTGAAGGCACCCCCCAACTCTGGGTCCATGTTTTTTAATTATAAGGGGCACCATTCCCTTGTGCTCCTGGCTGTAGTGGATGCCCAGTACAGGTTCAGGGTGATTGATGTGGGAGGGTACGGCAGATCCAGCGATGGAGGCATCGTGTCCAACTCTGCCTTTGGTGAGGCTCTGCGCGAGGGCACACTCGACCTGCCTCCTGACCAGTGCATACCTGGAGCTGACCACAGAGGACCCCAGCCCCATGTGTTCGTGGCAGATGAGGCCTTTTCACTGCGCTGCAATTTAATGCGCCCTGCCCATCTCCAGGATGAGGATGAGGATGGCTGGAGATGGGCAGGTTCCTGCACCGAGGGGAGCTGCTGCCGGTGAAGAACCACTTCCAGGCGTGCAGCGGATGGCCGCCTGGAAGCCAGCAGTGGACATAAGGAAAGTGTTCATGGCCCACTTCAGTGAGGAGGGAGCACTGCCGTGGCAGCCCACAGAGTAGTCATGTCCACCACAAGACTGACCCACATCTGGCCATAGTCCAAACCCATATTGATTTGCACTATTCTATTCACCTGTATACCTTCTGTTTCTAGGTAATGACTGCCAGACTCCACTGCGACTCCACTCCAACTTCAGGTTAATCATATGCACATTCAAGCTTTTCCATAATTACAAGGTTGTTAAAACAGTAAAAGGTGAAATGAATAAAAAATACTGTCAACTACTGTATCGCTCTTTAAGTGTTTGTTATTCCATCTTCTATAAAACCCAGTCAGCTCTTATAAAAGTAAATGTACAAATATAGAATAGCATTTTCTGTCAATATTATATGAAAGGTAGTAATGGTTGGCTTGAAGTAGAACACATGAGGTTTGAAAAATATTTTCTTTATAAAAAAAGTAACAAACAATGAAAAAGAAATGAAATGTACATATAAACAAATGAAAAGGAGCTTGCTTGGAGGAGGTGCGGTGGAAGAGGAAAGGGACACATGTCTGTTTCCTCCCCTGCAAAAGGTGTCACCTTAGGTAAAAAAAACTGTACTGGCCAATGGTTCCAAATTAAGCAGAACGGTGCTGCTTTCATATAAAAGTTGGTACATTTTGAATTTCACAAATTCTTTTGACTCTGGTGCCACCCTTTGCAGGAGAGGAAAGAGAGAGAGCAGGAACTGATGTTCTTCTGAGTAGTCGGGCGGTCCGGCTGCTTTGGTCCGTAGAGTCTCCAGCAGCTCCCGCTCCCACTCTGAAGGCCCACCAAGGAAGAGGGCTCGGAAGAGGCCCACGTCCGTAGAGCCGCCAACAAAGAACACAGGGCAATCACAGTGTTAAAAAGTGGAACATGTATTTCAAAAAAGCAAAATGAAGAGAGCAAATAATATCTGTATTAAAGCCAGAGTGTGTAGACATAGTTAAACACATGTAAAACACTTTTAAGTTGTGTGTTTGTTACAATTAACTTGAACATTGCAGTTATCAATGAAATTACTCACACATGCACAAATTTCGACAGTTACAAACTAATATCTCTGAAGTGTATTTCGCAATGAAATTTGAAATTGGCTGTAAAAAAGTAATACTCTATTGTCTGCATTAAACAGGATAGCTGCCATCTTGTGGCAACCATTGCATGTATTTGTTCAGTACTTTTATAGCATAAGGTATTTCAGTAGTATGTTTTTATCAAAGAAAGAGGGAAGATGTGTTGTATCAGACCAAAGCTTCTTTCCACCTGTAGTGCCTTGACATCTTGTCGTTTCTCTGTAAATTTGTCGTCTACACTGATGTAAAAGCCCTTGGGTAATTTTGGCATATTATGCAGTAACATTTTGTTTATATGAACAGTCCTGTAATAAGAATAAAAATAAAACAATGATTAAAAAAAGCCACACCTGTAGGTGCAGAAGCAGGGGAAGATCCAGCCCTCACAGAAGAAGAACCGGCTGAGGAAGCAGCAGCAGCAGCAGCAGCAGGCAGCTCAGGCAAAGATGTCTCACCTTGTGTGGTGGTGGCAGTGTCTGTGCCAGAAGAAAACAAGAAATACAATTATTTCATATCATGTGTACATTGCGCTTATGACATTTATATGTACATAATAATGTACATTATTATGTACATTTAAATGATTTGTTCATATAAAAGGGAAAAGTGAAATTTAACACAACACATGATCAAGATCTATCCTGGTTTGAAAATAGCCAATGCCTATTTTCACCTGGCCATGATGTTAAGAAAGCATTAAAAGAAATGCATACACAGAAAGCAATATAAATGTAAAAGTCAGCAAAATGTGGGTAATAGAAAGGAAAGAAATGTATTTTTTCCAACTGTTCGAGGTCTCCGTTTGCTGCATGACACCGACCTTCAGCACCTCATATGTGTCCCTCAGATTCTTCCACCGCTTTTTGCAAACTTCCACTGAATAAACACATCAACTCGTAAGCAGGAAAGTAGTAGTTTTTTTCGCGGGGAAATATTTACAACATTGAAAAGTTAAAATAACTTACCCGAGACACCAACCACCTCGCTAACCCTCCTCCAAGCAAGCTCCTTTTTATTTCGGTCCCGGTAGCTGTGGTCCGCAGTGTACTCAGAATGAGCACCGACCTGAGCAATTGACGTGTCCTCCATAGCTGTCATCTACCAGTGTTTTTCCGGTAGTGAAATGCGTCACTACGTCACTGGAGGAGAAAGCTCCTGATTGGTCGGCACACGCGAATTCTCCCAAAAAGTTCAACATTGTTCAACTCTAGCGGCGGCCGCGTTGGAGGCACGAATCGCGCGAAACGCGCGTCAAAACGCTTGACATCTCAAAACACGCCGCGCGAATCGCGCGAAACGCTCGAATTCGCGCCGCTCTGGCCGCGCGAATCGCGCCGCGTGATCTCTCGCCGCTCCTTGGCGCGCGTCCCCCATGTTGTGTCAATGTAGACCCGCCGCTTTGGCCGCAGAAATCGCGTTTGGTCTGAACGCACCATTAGACTTCTGCCGTCTGTCATGGAGAGTAGGCGCGGCCGTGACGTCACATGCAAGGGGTCAATAGAACAACTTCGAAGCGTGACTCTTTCCAAAACCACATCTTTATAAATGCAGGGGAGAGCTTGGTTTTACTGATGGTGTCTATGAAGCTCGCACACTCCTCGCTGCAACTATAACCATCGCCATAGTCACAGTCATACTTTGCTTTCATACTGTATCTTAATAATAAATAATATATTAGTAAAATGAATAAAGAAACATATTATTTCTACTAATGTCTACACTAATGATTTGTAGACGTGACCGAGTCTACAGCAAAAAGTCTGCGTAACAGTGTGCACTATGGAGGAGACTATGTGGAGGAGACTAGACTGTAGTCTAGCTCTGCTGGGGGACTCTCAAAAAGGAAAAGCTTTCAGCCCATCCCTCCTCCTACAGTCAAATTTGTGCATTCACTGCTGCGCAGAGGACAGGTAGTGATGATAATCAAATGGAAAAAAAATTCTCAATGAGTTCAAATATTATTTTCTTTCTTTTTCTAGGACTCCCTAAGCAGAGGCTGACAGCAATCAAAGATGGACACAGCACATTTATTTATATTATGTCAAATATACATATACACATTTTTACCCAAACATTGAAATAAAAGTAAGACGTATTTCTAAAGTGGTGATAAGTTGTATGTTTGAATTTTCCTCACTGTGGGACGAATAAAGGATCTCTTATCTTTATGAGAAAGGGGGCTTCTTTATAACCAACAGGTCCTGCTCTTCTGGCCTCTCCCCGGGGCTCTTCTGCTCTTCTTTCTCCGGGGTGCGTCATTTACATGTTTGTAGCAGAGGCTATTTCCCCCAAATACAATAACGAGAAGAGCCTATTTTTAACGTTGTCTTCTTGGTTAGTATGGGGGGCCGCGCAGACCCATCAGATTTTTAAGGGGGCCGCGGTGTTACTGACTTTGGTAATGGCTGATTTACTTACTTCTAGTAATTTAAAAATAACTAGAACAGTTGATCTAATAGTTTTATACCTACAGACAACTTTTCTAGTATTAGCAGACTATAGTGTCAGTAACAGTAATTGCGCTATAACTATAAAACGGGAACAGTGCAGTATGTATACTGTATTTTCTATGGGAATAATAATGTTAAAGTGGACATATCGTGTTTTCAAATAATTGATTTTTACATCTAAATCATTAATTTGTGGTCTATATAAAGCGTAACTGCAATGCCTGGGTCTGAGTCTCATTATTTTTAGCTCCACGGGCCTTTCTTCTACACCTGTTCTGAGGTGCGTCTGAGAGCAACCTGTTTTGGTGCTGTCTCTTTAAATTCAAATGAGGCGCTTTTGACCACGCCCCCATCCAGGTGACACAGGTTCAACTCCACCCCGAGCGGCCATTTTCGTAGTTTCTAAGCACAGATACAATTATCTCATAGAAACTTCTCATTACATCGCAAACATGAAGCAGGCCTTCCTCATTGACTGAAAGCAAATGTTAATTTTCATTCTTAGTACAGTCTTATTATCGACTCTTCTCTTTTTAGCTTTGGGATCCATGCGCACAGTCAAGGCAAGGAAAGGCAAGTTTATTTATATAGCACAATTCATACACAAGGCAGAACAAAATAAGAAAGCATTAAAATCATAAATAATCACAGAACATTAAAAAGAAAGCTAAAAATATAAAATCCCTCAGTTGTATGCACAGCTAAACAGAACTGTTTTTTAACCTGGTTTTAAACATTGTCATTGAGGAGGCCTGTCTCACATCTTCAGGAAGACTGTTCCAGATTTTAGCAGCATGAATCTGAAAAGCAGCCTCCCCATGTTTAGTTCTGACTCTGGGCACTAACAGGAGTCCAGTCCCTGTGCTCCTCAGAGTCCCAGCAGGAGTCCAGTCCCTGTGCTCCTCAGAGTCCCAGCAGGAGTCCAGTCCCTGTGCTCCTCAGAGTCCGGGCTGGTTCGTATGGTACTAACATGTCACTAATATATTTTGGTGCGAGGCCATGGAGAGACTTGTACACAAGCAGAGCTCACATGCCGGTTTGTTTACAACAGCGGCCGCCTGGCGCTGGCCTACGTCGCAGGATATGACACACTACGTTGACATAAATGTTTAAATTGAATATTACTTTTTACTAAAGGTGGACACAGACAACACTATTGTTTGTTACAGGGATGAGAATTGGTCAAAAAAGACTGAAATGCATATTGTCAGCCATTTGCTGGCTCTAAATCTGTTTAATTTGTTCACAACATATTACTTTTGGGCTCAAACATAAACTTTTAATGCAATGCAAAATTTAGGTATCAGAGCTTTATTTAGGGTGTTTAATCGCGCTTCGAGAGGAGAGGGGAGACGCGGAGTGTGTGCACAGATTACTCAAAGACACGCATGGTCCTGTGCGCGTTTATAGGGTTGGGTACATGGCCACGTTGAGGCTGCGCGCTCAGCCACAACACGGTGAAGCGGCTGGACGCTCACAGCCTCTCGCAGCCGCTGGACGCGGAAGCTGCTCATTACAAAGCGGCCGCAGATGCCCCGGAACACTGCGGCCGCTGAGGTGGCGGAATCCCGTTCGAGTACATACAGCAGGTGCCCCGCGGATACGCGCGCCCGCTCGAACAATTCTCAACGGATTTACACTTCTCATAAACATGTGTTTTGTATGAGGCAGACAGACCGGCCCAAATATGGGCATCGGCCCTTAGGGCATTGCCCGGTACGCCCGATGGCCAGTCCAGCCCTGTGCGCTGGCATCCTTGAGCTTGGACTACAAAGTATGCACAGTAGAGGGCTGGGCCGAAGTGTTTTGTTTGACGCCCATGCCCTTATATAGCAAATACTGTGACGTAATAATTCTAAACACGTAATAGAGAATGGCAAAATCAGAACGGGTTGAAAAATCTTACCTAAACAGAATATGAAGTGTTCTCTGCAACCCATGAAGAGACTGATTTAAACTTTTTTGCACTTCTAGAGGCTCCAACTTCACAACATAAGGCATTTAAGGCACAAAAAGTGGATTTTTCATGATATGTCCCCTTTAATAATAATGCATCGGTTTTATATAGCACTTTTTTGGACACTCAAAGACGCTTTACATGTCATTATTCATTCACTCCATACACGGTGATGATAAACTAACAATGTAGCCACAGCTGCCCTGGGGTACACTGACAGAAGCAAGGCAACCAGTATGTAACATCGGCCCCTCCGACCACCACCAACCATTCACACACACCAGACTCATTCTAGGCAATGGGGGTGAAGTGTCTTGCCTGAGGACACAACAGCAGTTTGGCACTTTACAGCTGCAGTCACCCATAGCCGCCCCTTCCACCCTCGCGCCCCTCATTTGCGCGTTCCTGATGATGGGTGTGAGTGCTCAGGGTGTCCAGGGAGAGAAGGGCATGGATCTATTATAATACGGAGAAGGGTCTGTCTCCAGCCTGCAAGACAGAGGCGTGTCGTGTAGTAGGCGTAAGTATATCCGTAGAAAACTCGGAGAAGACATGGCAGACCGTTATGGGGTAAGGTTACTGTCAATTAAGACGTGCATAACTAAAAAAAAACGCGTGCATATTTATTGGTATTTGTGCATAAAAATATTTTGTTAATTCATGATTAAGATAATACAAACTAAAAAGACATGGAATTTCGTAATTAAGAATAACAAAATATAAAACTGTATGTGTGATTTCGTACTTGTGAATACGATTTTTTTTTGTGCTTGCATTTTGTTCTCTGAAAATACGAATTTCAGCAGTCAGCAAATTATCAATATTACGTCACTGCTCACAGACATTAACAATCGAGCCTGCGCAGAGTTGATCATGGCAGAGGACAACAACATTAAAGTGGTTCTCACCCCCGCTCCTCGGAGCTTACGTCACTCACATTTCCTGTTCAAATCTTCCTCTAAATGGGCGTAGCCTGGAGGACTAAAGGGGGCGTGAACGAGACTGGGCCGTTTACATTGCTCTGGGCGGGGGGCTGCTGACGTCAGGTCCAACTTGCAGACGTCAGGTCCAACTTCTGTGCCAGTGTTGGCGCCAGATTCAAAATTCAAATGTAGTAATACAGGTCGCCAGCAGATGGCGCCTCACAGGCGGTTTTAGGCAGAAAGTTTGACTTTCAACTAATTTGCACCAAAGTGACAAGATTATGACCAGGATATGTAGACAACACTATTGGACACTCATTTAAATCGTTTATCAGCAAAAAAAAGTGGATTTGAGGGTGAGTTGTCCTTTAACAACGTGGCTCAAAATCAGGTATATAACAATATTTGATCATTTTGGTCGTAAATGAATGTTAAGAAATATTAATTCCATAATATGTGTTCTTAAGAAGATGTTTCTTGGTCGTTTTTTTGCAGTGTTTAATTAAGGCTAGCTTCAATGCTAGTTTTACAGCTTTCCATGTTATTTTAAAACCAAGATGTTTACATTCTTAGCATTTTCATTTGATGAAGCCTTGGCCCCTAATCAATGTGGTTAATGTGTTGATACCAGCCCCAACCCTCCAGATTATTCATAGTTCGCGCTGTTACTACCCCTGAGCAATATGAAGTTCACCTCCCCGTGCTATACTCATCCTTGGTTGTTAGACGTAGCAGACCCTGTTGCACCCTATGGGCCTCAATCTTATATTTGTGAGTAAATTTGACACATTACTTTTACTCACTAGTTCAGTAACGCTTGTTAGTTAAATAAATGCGTTATTTTCTGTAGAATAAAACAATACCAGAATAAAAAAATAAAACTTGCATTGGGGCCAAAAAAACGTTTCTAGAGAGGGACAAGAAACATCTTCTCATTAACACATTTATGGAATTAATATTTCTTACACATTTATTTACGACCAAAATTATAAAATATAGTTATATACCGGATTTTGAGCCGCGTTGTTAATGTTGTTACCCTCTGCCATGTTTGCGCAGGCTCGATTGTTAATGTCTGTGAGCAGTGACGTAATATTGACAGTTTGCTCACTGCTGAAATTCGTATTCTCAAAAAGAAAATGCAAGCACAAAAAAAAAATCGCATTCACAAAAACAAAATCACACATACAGTTTTATATTTTTTTATTCTTAATTACGAAATTCCATGTATTTTTTGTTTGTATTATCTTAATCATGAATTAATAAAATATTTTTTTGCACAAATACCAATAAATATGCACGCATTTTTTTTTGACAGTACCCATGGACCGTTCGGTGTTTTGAGGTGGTGTATGCAGTCAGAGCCGTTGAGCGCTCTGCGGATACGCAGACCTCCATGAAAACATGTTAGGTTTGTTGTTGTAGTTTGTGTATGTTTATATTTTTTTGCACTTTTTATTCGTTTCTTTTCATTCCTTGGACCAGCGTCGTTTGGGTTAGAGTGGCGCCTTGCCCTCCCGAAGTGCGGAAGGCAAATACGTCGCCAACGCGGAAACTCGCGACATGAAGAAAAACAATCAAAATGGCGGCTCCGCAGTGACGGCCTGTCTCTTTTTCCATAGTCTTTTGTGGATTTTAACCAATTCACGTAACGTATCTTCAAGCTGGTTTAGTTGTATGAGTAAGTACAGCTTCAAGCCATGTTCTGATAGCGGAGAACTTAACATTATGTGCGTTTATGTTGGGAAAACTCCACAGAACAGAAGGTCTCTGCACACTCCGTCTGAGTTTAAAACTCAGAAAAGAGAAAAAGTACAATGTTTAGGTCTGGATATCAGTTTCGCGTAATATGTGATACAAACTTGTGGTAGTAGCAGTAGTAGCAGAAGAAAAGTAAAAGTCACAGATTTTGAATATGTTAATTAATTTAAAGCATCTGACCGTAATTTTTCAGATTTGGGTAATAGACTTCAAATTGTGAGGGATTACAGACAAACGCCCCCTACAAAAAGGTATACATACTACATGTAAATAATATTAAGTTTAAGAAGAAAGAGACCAGAGCGCGAGACCAGCGCGAGACCAGAGCGACACCAGATAGAGAGATTAAATGTGTGTGTCTGTGTGTGTGTGTTCAGAGATGATAAGTGGTCTGGACGAGGACAGCTTCGTTGCCTGCTGTCGTCTTGTGTTGCAGAAGTCGGAGGAGCTGAGAGACGGCTGGCGCTGGGAGCAGGTGAAGTGCACACTCGAAACACTATGGCAGATATAACTTAAAGCTGCACTAACTGACTTTGTTTTTTTATTCATTACGAAAATGCTATCCATGTCCATGTAGTGCATTGGGTTATACGTCCTTTTGAAGATAAAGTTGCGCAGATTATGGGGCGACAGTGGCTCAGTTGGTAGAGCATTGGCCTTTGAGCCTGAAGGTCGTGGGTTCAAGCCCACCATAAGACCTACTTCACGACTCTCACTGATGACTGCTGTCGTTGTGTCCTTGGGCAAGACACTTAACCCCACTTTGCCCGAAGCCCCCACTGAAAGATCTCAGCTACTGTGGACTCACCACCTGCAGGAGGATCAGTGAGGGTCTGGTGCTCTGTGTACTGGGTGCAGCTTTGCCTGGCCTGCCAGACACTCCTCCTTTCTGTTCAAAAGAAGAACCGTCTGGACACCTCTTCCTAGCCTATCATTTCACGATTTTACCCACATCGGTCCAATCACGCACCGAGAGGCGGGACTTCCTTTCACCTTTGAGTTGCTAATAACTCCTCGTATCTTTAAGTTTTTGTTACAAAATCGACAGCAGTCGTTTACATTTGCACTAGCTGACATGCCGCCATCCCTTGTTTTGTGTTTACTGAAACGGCTTGGGTGCCGCTAGTTGCTGCGTCATATCCTGTGTGCATCTAATTGGTTGATGCAGTCTGTCAACCACGCCCACCGGGAATTCGCTGAGATCAAGCTCGTTCCCAGACTATATGTCTTTGAAAAAGCATATCGTTTGGCAGGCCAGGCAAGGTGCAGCTCTGACTACCACCCCCCCGACCCAGAAATGGATTAAGGGGAAGAAAATGGATGGATGGATGGGTTGTGCAGATTTGTGCTGGCGTGACATTATATTTTAGATCGAGTTTTGATGAAACAAGGAAGAGAATGTGTTTCGGGTCGCAGATTGTGACCAATCACAGCGTACCACTAGCCTCCACTTCCGTCAGAAATCTACAGGTCTCGTTAGCATAGACGGCTGAGAAAGCACAACAAGTGGCGGAGCTAACCTGAAGCTTCCTCGTCTTCGTCACCGGTTACTGCTTACACAGCGAAACAGCCATCCAAGAGAAAGTCTCGTTCCTCCGCGCTTCCCGGTTCTGTCATTCTATGGTCACGCCATCCACGCTCAAATGTACGATACACAATTCTATCCATATTGTGTGACGCTAGCTCAATCAACAACAGTGGGTGTGTGTGGGGGGCGATAGCTTCGTGGGTGCGGGGAGGGGAGCAGAAAGAGCGAGGCCAGCGCTCAGCTTTTCAGCTCTCTGCCCATAAAGTCTAATAGTGACTCACAGGGCTCTTGATTTAATCGTGCTGAAGAAGATGACAAAGTCTGGGATCACGTCTTTAATTCAGACAGAAGACATGTTTTATTGTCAATGGTAGAGACAGCACGAACAACACGAACAAGGGATGTTACGACAGCAAGTTGTAATATAGTCAGGAGAAACCGAGACCTCCAATCAGCAGCTGCCACAGTGCCAGCAGAGAAAGTCAAAACAAGTAGTAGAAAAGTACAGGTTTCTGCACATTGATGGAATGATGAGTTTAACCTTAACAAAAGTTGCTTCAAAGTGTTATGAAATCTCACACTGCTTTAGACCTGCTTTAGTCCTGATTACACTTGCTTTAGTCCTGTTTTAGTCCTGCTTTAGACCTTTTTTAGTCCTGCTTTAGTCCAAGACCATACAAAAGCCAAGAGCTCAAACTTGTATTTCCTTCAGGATTAATAAAGTACTGATGATCGAAACAAACCTTTAGAGCAATGAACTCGGGACATGGATTTTATTATCCCTAAATTCTATTGTTATAAGTTATGTGTTTTTGACGTTTACTGGACTCTTCCTTTATTCTCAGGGATCAGAGGGATATCTGAGAAAAACTGTTCTACACTCAGTGTCCATACAAGAAGCAGAGAACTCTGAGCGGGAAATCGCACACAAGGAATGCCAGGTACCATCACCGAGCCCCTCCCCCTGTGACACTCAGCCCTTTGTACTGTACCTTGACTGTAAAAGATCATGTGTGTTAATGTTTTCTTCGGTTCACTACTTACTGCTCATTACCCATAATGCTTTTTGCCTCAGGGTGTGGTACATGTGGAGTCTCCACATGTACCACACCCTGAGGCAAAAAGCATAGAAAGGATTTGATGTGTTTAAATCCTGAAGAATCCTGAAACACTTTAAACACAGTGTTTTCACTAGTTCAATAGAGATGGTGGCCCCCTGCTGGCTGCGGACACAACTGCATTCATGTGCAGTCAGAGCAACCAACAGATGCTTTAGTTGTGGTGTTATGGTGCTTTCAGACCGGATCATGCGTTGCGTTGTGTTTCAATGCAAAGTCTATGGTGGCGCGCGTTCGACCGTCACAACGCACGGACCTCTCGGCACGCACGAACGGACTGTTCAATAATGACGCACGGACTTGGCGGGAAAGTGAAAAGGGAGGAGCAGGAGCGAAAAATGAACGCCCACAGGAGATGGATCCTGCTCATCCTTTCCTTGGGACGTTTGTGCGACAACCAATCAGAGAGCCGCAAAGTGGTCACGGGGACATTAGCGGACTGAGCGGGCCGACTGAAAATACTTGTAACCAGAACTCAAACCAGGGTTGACAATGGGGGACTCTGTGCAAAATATGCGTTGTCATGCTCCCGTGACCTTATGCAACTGCTTCGAGTGTGTTTGCCGATGCGGAAATTCCGTTTAATAATATGAAAGAACGTATGGCGCACCTCCGTGAACACATACTACTGTTTTATAAAGCCCGTGGAATGTCTGTGAGCAAAGACACGCTACAAAGCTGCATATTGGAGAAGATCTGTACACAAGAAGCCGCTAGCATAGCTCTGTTAGCATTAGAGCCGGCCGGCTACTTCCGGTACTTCCGGCTCGCGTCAGGACGTTCTGTTGTGAAGTCCTCTGCGTCTGAAAACTAGAGAATGCGCGTCTGGTGAGCGGGGCTTCCACATTTCAGCGTTGGCGGTCTGAAAGCACCATTACAGCATTCATACAGTCTGTTTGTCTGCTGCAGAGCTCTGAGGCCGTTCTCCTCGACGATGAAGATGATGATAATGTCGCCGGGGCTAACTGTCCTGCAGACCCCCCCCTCTGGGTCCATTCAGAATTCCATGTGCTTTTCTCCAGCAGCTACAGGACTCCAGTGATGTTCTTCAGGAGCAACACTCTGGGTCTGTTACTGCTACTACTACTGCTGCTACTGTCATGTCACTACTCAGAGTGAGGGAGATGGCCACAGACCAAAACTATTGTTGTTACACGGATGAGAATGGGACATTTCAAAAATGTCTGAAATGCATAATGTCAGCCAATGACTGTCATTAAATCTGTTTGAACATTTTACTTTTGAGCACGACCAACATGAGCTGTTATTGCAACTGAAGATTTAGGTACCCCAGCTTTAACTTGCAGAGGTGTAGCCGCTGGAGGTGGGAACATGGATCTATAATAATATCTGGAAAGGGTATTACCAGCTTATAGCTTTCCCACCCATGGGCACAGGGGGCGCCTGTGGTACTGCAGACTAAATTCATGTAGCCCAGAAAAAAGTCCCATATAACTCAATGTAAACAGCTGACAGAGAACCTACAGCTTTCACAAAGGTCGAATTTTGTGGGGATTTTAGTGTCCGTTGTCATCCTAAACTTTTTTTCTTTTTAAATCCTTCAGTTTTCTATAAATCTACACTTTAATGCAACAAACTGCTGGTTTTCTTCCCGCTCTAACTCCGCTCTGATCAGCAGCTCTGAATGGCTGAGATGCAAACAAGTTTCTGGATGCGCAAGTACAAGTCATATCCAAGTCCCTGGACCCTCAAGTCCAAGTATCATTTCCTACGCATTAGAATTATGGCGTATACAATTTAAAAAAGACTAAAATATGTTATTTCATTGTATTGTTTTTTAGAGCCTACTTTTCCAGCCTTAAAGAAGCTATACCCAATTTATTTTTTTAAAATGTATTATTTTAATTACTACATACAAGTTGTATTATATTAAAGTGCTGAGTAGAGACTTGGCGTGACGCTTGCTCTCCTCCAATCACAGAACGAGGAGCGAACAGGCCACGTCCTCTAGCCTCTACAGTGCTGGTAAACAGAGAAGCATGTTAGCAGAATTAGCTATAACTCCTCTTGCTGTAACTGCATACATAGAAAAACAGCCCAAACGACACAACAGTGAGGAATAGAAAAGAGAACTAAAGCAAAAAAACTATCAAAGAAGAAATCAAGCTCGGGTGAGCATAGCTAGCTTACCTATACGTAGCATTAGCTTACATTGTATCCTCTGGAGAGACCTGCGGGTGCGGGACCGTTTTGGACTACATTTGGACGCGAAACTAGCGGTGCGCTTTCAGTTATATATTTTGTTAGCGGTGCGTTGCTTTTGTATAATTTTTTAATGGGGCGGTTTTGATTATGGAGGCAAGAGGGAATGATGGAGTGATGGACCGAATTAAAACAGCTATGGCAGAGCAGTGGTGTGACCAAAAAAGGGGCAGAGCAAACTGTTAAAAATAAAATAATGTATTACAATAGATTAAAACAAGGTGAAAAAGTCTTTAAAATGTGATTTTAAAAAAGTCCCGAGCGCAGAGGGGCAGTCTTCAGGGGACCTGCGTAGGGATGTAAATCGGCGACCGGTTAACCGGTGGTTGACCGTCACAGCGTTAACCGGTCAAAGCTGTCGGTTAAAAAAGAGAAAAAGGGGAGAGGGGAGGTCTCTTAATAACGCTATTTTAAGCCCTATTTGCACGGTGTGACGAGCGGGTCTGTATCTAGCTGTATGCGCCCATGTATTATAAACTCCGGGACGACTCTCACGCCGCACGAGCCACATATGCACACACGCACGCGCGCGCACACACACACACACACTTTCCCCCTCTCCATGCGTAACATCCACACGCATCATCTCTCCCCTCTTTTACCGTCAAAGTTGCACACTGGCGCGGGTCAGAACTACATTGGAGCTTACATTTACACACACACACACATATACATACACACACACATACACACACACACACATACATACACACACACATACCGGTCTGTCGCGCTCCTCTGTGTCACGGAGCCCAAAGGATTCGCGCAAATACGCGGCTCCTTTTGGGAGTCGCGTATTTCCCCTACATGTTTTGCTGTAGGGGAAACATGTTTGTGTTTATGGTCCTCGGGCAGCTCCACACACATCACTTGTATTTAAACTTTTGTGAAGACCTGTGTGAGACTCGTCACTCGCTGCTCTGACCATGTGAACGAGCCGTCGTTTGCTGCTAGAAAGTTTTGGTATTAACCCGCAGCACAGCAGAATGGGAAGATTAAAAAAGGAGTTCTCTGTGCGCAAAGGTGCCGGAGCTGTTGCGGGTTTGGGCGCCGCTGTCTCGGCTCTGATCCAGTAGAACTCAGAGCTGCACTTATGAAAAGTACGCGGCTCGAAATGGCTGTTATTTCAAAGAACGTGGACTATTTTAAACTACGCGGTTAACCGGTTTCAACCGGTTAATGAGGCTCGGTGGTCGGTCATGAAAATTCATAGTTTTTTACATCCCTAGACCTGCGCACAAAACAAAGGCCGGCAGGAACAATTCTCCACGTCTGATTTTACGAGGGACAACGGGCGGGCACTTACACACACGGCAGGGATCCACCCTGCCGCTGCGTTCTCCACGAGTCAGGCACCGTCTCCTGCTTGCGGTCCAGCTTGCGGGTGCTCTTCCCCGGGTCAGGTGCCTCCTCGGACCGCCGCTTCCCTCTCCACCACGCTCCCTAACACAAGACCAGAGCCAGTACACAGTACACAAACAACGTTTGCCAGCTGCTGGGGCCTGAGGTCTCTCCTGGTTGCACCAGCTAATCCACAGAGCGTTACTCACAGACGAGGCAGAGCTTTCTCGCTCTGCCGCTGCGTGGATAGGGCACGCTGGTGCAAGCTGGGTCACTGCTCGTCTTGTGGTCTTGTAGAGCTGTGGTCTTGTAGAGCTGTGGTCTCGAACGCGTTGCTCCGCTCGCTCGTTCTCAGTGGCTCTTGTTCTGTACCGTTGCGCTGCTCTCTCTCTGTCCGTTTCACCTGCCCTTATATTCCCTGCTCCCTCATCAAGCGCAGGTGCTCTAATTGTGTGGTGCACAGGATTGGGTGACAGCGTCCATGGGGCTCTGTGGCATGTCTCCAGCTGGAGCAGGACTAAAATGCTAAAACACTAAAAACACTCATGTATATATAAAAACATCACTTCAAACTAAAAACATAAAACATGTGCTCTCCCACATGCCAGATCACAATTTCATCAGTGATTGTTGTACAGCTTACAAGAAGTTGCGCTCATGCTAATGTTTGCATATGTATCAGATCGCAAATAAAACTAGATGGCTCTGTGGAATTAGAGCGTAGGGGAAATGAGAGACCTGTGAGCAAGTTGAGGGGCGGTGCTAAAGATTCAAACCTTGCAGAAACAGGTATAGCTTCTTTAAACATTTCAGTCTACAGGCTGGACTGGGACTAAAAAACGGCCCGGGGATTTTTGCCTCCTCGACGGCCCGGTTTGTTGTCACATTTTTATTGAGCGGTTATTTATACAGTATGCAGAAGCACATACTGTAGAGCAGAGGTCCCCAAATGGCGGACCTCGGGGTCCAGGTCCGGACTCTTTTCTCTGGACCTCCTTGATTGTTTTTGTCCAAAAGGACATTTTACAATAATGTGTCAAATTGTCACCAAAAGCAATTTGTAAACAGGTAGGCGCGAGGGTGGCTATGTGGGTAGCGGGGTCCTTCAGGGAAAAAGTAAATAACTTTAGCAGTGTCTAAATCCGAGTGTGAGTCAGAGACTGGAATGAGCGCTGTGTACGGAGCGATGGACGCTCGCGTTCAGCTGCTCACACTGGCTGCGTCCAAATTGACAGATGATAATTGTGGAGGATAAGGGGATCTTTTTTGTTGAAGTGCTTCTTTCCATCAAATAACGTTTTTGCCATCACCTGCACACACACTGACTACAACAAGGCGTTTTATGCCAAAATCCACTGCACTCGCATACACAGAAGTATGAAGAAGAAGGAGAGAGACAGAGGTGTGTGAGGAGGAGCAGCGACTCTGTGTGCGGAGGAGGAGCGAGACATAAAAAACATATTAAAAGCATTTGCAAACAGCGTATGCCCTACTTTAGTGCCCACTGCGAGTGCAGTGGATTTTGGCATAAAACGCCTTGTTGTAGTCAGTGTGTGTGCAGGTGATGGCAAAAACGTTATTTGATGGAAAGAAGCACTTCAACAAAAAAGATCCCCTTATCCTCCACAATTATCATGTGTTGCACCCTCTGCTCTGAGAGTTTGGGAGAGGTTTGTGGTGTGTTGTGTAGAAATAAACAAAGTAGATTAATGTTATGTGTGAATTATACGCACCTATATTTAGATTTTTTTAAATTTATTTTTTAAATAGTTCTTACTTCTGTAGTCGTTGTTGTTTAAGGTTTTCAAATAATTTCATATAAAAGAAATAGCTTGAATGGATTTCTATGAAATAAAATATTTGTATGATGTCCGGACCCTAATCTATTGAACTGATCAAGTAAGTGGACCTCGTGCCAATTTAATTGGGGACCCCTGCTGTAGAGGATGTATGCAGTTTCAACAATTAAAATAAAGTGTAATGGTCAACATTACCTTAGAGTAATAGACATGTGGGAGATGGCCACAGTACCAAAACTATTGTTTGTTACAGGGATGAGAGTGGGACATTTCAAAAAAGTCTGAAATTCGAATGTCAGCCAATGGCTGTCATTAAATCTGATTTGTTCACAGCATTTTACTATTGTGCCCAACCAACGTGAGCTGTTAATGCAAGAGAAAATGTACGTACGGAGGAGAAATGGACACTTCAGGAGGCTCCATCATCCAGCTCTGTTTATTGCAGAGGTGTATTTATTGCGTGCACAGGTTATGAAAACAACAGGCAGAGAATGGTCCTGTGCGCGTGTATGGTCCTGGCAACATTATGACCAGGTTAAGGCGTAGCCGCTGGAGGTGTCAAAGCAGCACATAGTTTTAAGCTCAGACACAACTGATACACACAGTGATGCAGCCAACAAGTACAATTCCCGTACAGTCAAGACCCATGAGCGGGGTCAAAAAGTGAGCACAGCCCCTTTTTCTGCTGATTGGTCAAAGCGCTGCAGATTCCCTCTGTGCATTACACACGTAATTGGCGAAACGCATCATGGGAGGCAATGCGCAAATATGGGCAAGTTCCGCTAATCTTTCAGCCCCCATGGCTGTCCCATGTGCTACTTAGCAGAAGCCATTGATTTGAATTGGACGCTGTTTTGAATCGCCAGGGCTTAGGTGGGAAAGGCAGTTATTACAAAGCGGTCGCAGCTGCCCCAGGTCAGAACGGTGCGGCTACTGAGGATGCGAGATCCCGTTCGAGTACATACAGCAAACAACAGCAAGTACCACGTGGTCATGCACGACCCTCTCAAACATTTCTCAACTGATATACACATCTCACACTTTTTTTTGTGGCCCAAATATGGGCATCAGCTCTTCCAGGGCTGGACTGGCCATTGGGCAGAAATATACTACTATTACCTCTACTACTGCTACTTATACTACCATTGCTACTACTGCTACAACTAATACTACTGCTACTAGTATTGCTGCTACTGCTACTTCTGTTACTGCTACTATTACTTCCACCAATCTGAGTTGGCGCTGTGTTGCAGAGGGGCGGGCCTTGTCACTGGATGCCATGTGGAGCTTCATCAAACCAAAGCTGAAGTCTTCATCAGAGGAGGATCTTTTGTCCACGGTCACTCAGCAGGTAACTACTCAGCAGATAGCAATCAAGCAGGTATAATTCAATTCAATTAATTTTGAAATTAATTAAATGAATAAAAACATAAAATAAATTATACCTGTTATTTAAAGTCATATTATTTAATGACAATTACAATCTGTAAGGAATACTTTTAGTGCATAGTTCCTTTCATACATTTCAAACCATAAGTAAATTTCTTTATTTGTGAAAGAATATTATCCTTATTATCGTGTAAGGTATTTTAATTTTTTTTATCAAATTAATAGCAAAAATAGTGGACACATATCCATATCTTTATATTCAATTTATTCAACATGATACTTGAACTGAAAAACCTGAGATGAGTCTCTGTGTATCTAGTTTCAAGAGTATAATCGGTAACACTTTATAATAACTACACCTTAGTTAGGCTTAATAAATGTTGAAATAACACTTAATTAATCATGCACAATTCATTAAGTGTGACCAACACTTAATAACTACTACAGTTAATAAATGCTTAACTCATAATGAATACATCTTCAAGTACTTCACTTGTTCATTATTTTTTTAATAATTTAATAATTATGAAGTAACCATTTGTTACATATATAGATGGTTTGTTACACCATAATTAAACTACATGATAATGATTATTAATTGTACACTTGATTATAGCAGTGCTTGATTTATTCAGTCAGTTACTAACAGTTAAGAGTTTATTTGTGAGCTTTTGTAAAGTGTACACTATTTACACTTTATTAGACATTTGTTAAAGACCCTTTAGTATGACAATTAATCATTTATTAATACTGCAGTGCATTACTTATTAGTCAGTTACTAACAGAGTATTTGTGAGAAAAAACACAAGGATGACCAACGTTTTTTTTATAACAATAATAAGCCATGAGATACAGTGCCTTGCGAAAGTATTCGGCCCCTTTGAACCTCTCAACATTTCGCCACATTTCAGGCTTCAAACAAAGATATAAAACATTTATTTTTTGTCAAGAATCAACAACAAGTGGGACACAATCAAGAAGTGGAACGAAATGTATTGGATAATTTAAACTTTTTTAACAAATAAAAAACTGAAAAGTGGGGCGTGCAATATTATTCGGCCCCCTTGCGCTAATACTTTGTAGCGCCACCTTTTGCTGCAATTACAGCTGCAAGTCGCTTGGGGTATGTCTCTATCAGTTTTGCACATCGAGAGACTGGAATTCTTGCCCATTCTTCCTTGGAAACAGCTCGAGCCCAGTGAGGTTGGATGGAGAGCGTTTGTGAACAGCAGTCTTCAGCTCTTTCCACAGATTCTCGATTGGATTCAGGTCTGGACTTTGACTTGGCCATTCTAACACCTGGATACGTCTATTTGTGAACCATTCCATTGTAGATTTGGCTTTATGTTTTGGATCATTGTCCTGTTGGAAGATAAATCTCCGCCCCAGTCTCAGGTCTTTTGCAGACTCCAACAGGTTTTCTTCCAGAATGGTCCTGTATTTGGCTCCATACATCTTCCCATCAATTTTAGCCATCTTCCCTGTCCCTGCTGAAGAAAAGCAGGCCCAAAGCATGATGCTGCCACCACCATGTTTGACAGTGGGGATGGTGTGTTCAGGGTGATGAGCTGTGTTGCTTTTACGCAAAACATATTGTTTTGCATTGTGGCCAAAAAGTTCGATTTTGGTTTCATCTGACCAGAGCACCTTCTTCCACATGTTTGGTGTGTCTCCCAGGTGGCTTGTGGCAAACTTTAAACGAGACTTTTTATGGATATCTTTGAGAAATGGCTTTCTTCTTGCCACTCTTCCATAAAGGCCAGATTTGTGCAGTGCACGACTGATTGTTGTCCTATGGACAGACTCTCCCACCTCAGCTGTAGTTATCTGCAGTTCATCCAGAGTAATCATGGGCCTCTTGGCTGCATCTCTGATCAGTCTTCTCCTTGTTTGAGATGAAAGTTTGGAGGGACGGCCGGGTCTTGGTAGATTTGCAGTGGTCTGATACTCCTTCCATTTCAATATAATTTCTTGCACAGTGCTTCTTGAGATGTTTAAAGCTTGGGAAATCTTTTTGTATCCAAATCCGGCTTTAAACTTCTCCACAACAGTATCTCGGACCTGCCTGGTGTGTTCCTTTGTCTTCATGGTTCTCTCTGCGCTTTAAACAGAACCCTGAGACTATCAAAGAGCAGGTGCATTTATACGGAGACTTGATTACACACAGGTGCATTCTATTTATCAACATCAGTCATTTAGGACAACATTGGATCATTCAAAGATCCTCACTGAACTTCTGGACTGAGTTTGCTGCACTGAAAGTAAAGGGGCCGAATAATATTGCACGCCCCACTTTTCAGTTTTTTATTTGTTAAAAAAGTTCAATTTATCCAATAAATTTCGTTCCACTTCACGATTGTGTCCCACTTGTTGATTCATGACAAAAAATTAAAATTTTTGTTTGAAGCCTGAAATGTGTCGAAATGTTGAAAGGTTCAAGGGGGCCGAATACTTTCGCAAGGTACTGTACTTGGTTTGGAGCATGCTCACTGAGAAAGGCTGAAAAGCCACGGTATTGCCCCTGCATATTTGCAGCACCATCAGTAGAGTTTCCAATGCAGTTACTGATGTCAATGTTGAGGTTAAGCAGCACTCTTTTTAAAAGCTCCAAAAAATCTTTCCCTGTTGATGTTTCAGTGTCTACTACTGAAATAAGGCGGCCATGTATGACATTTGTGACATACCTAATGATGATGGAGCACCGATCTTTATAGCTAACGTCTTGAGTGGTGTCTATCTGTACAGAATACATGCCCGACTGTCTCACCTCTTCAGCAATTGCACTCTTGATCAGTTGGCTAATGGCATCCAAGACTTTATTAAATAAGTCTTTTGACATAAGGGTGATGAGAGAACCTCTCCCTTTAGCTCCACTTTCACGCTGCTTCTTGCTATTTTCCACACATGTCTTTACATGTTGTTGGAGGACAGTGTCATACTTGCTCAAAAGTAAGATTAATTAAAGCGCATTTCCATGATTTTGTGAACCATCATCCAAGCTATAGGCAGCCTCTTCATTGGATCTGTAGCTAAGGCCACATTTACCGATGACTTTGATTGCATCCACAATACGTTCCATTACTTCACGCCTTTTTTTTACTTGCAAAACACGTAATGACATTTGAGTGCCACACAATAGGCTTTTTATATCGGCCTTCTGTAATCTTAGAAAGTATGCATCAGAACAATCTATGCATTTTACTTTTTTCATGCTCCTGTATCCTCTGGTGAATGTGTTTCCAATCATTCATGCCTCCTTGAACAAATGGACTCTTTACATCATGAGGTGCAAATGCAAGGCACACGGAACAGTAAAGGGCATTTTTTTTGGTCACAAGTCAGCCACCTGCGGCTGCTGCCATCCTTTCTAACAAAAATCTTAGGCAGGGGATGTTCAGTATTTTGATGAGTGTGATAAGAGAAAAAATTATCAAAATCGTGCTCTGAAGGACGAGCAAAGTAATTGAAATTAGACAGCTCATCATCTGTTTCAGGTTGCTGTTGTCTGTTGTTTGATGCCTCTTTCTGTATTTCTTCCTCTCTCTGCATTTCTTCCTCTCTCTGCATTTCTTCCTCTCTGCATTTCTTCCTCTCTGCATTTCCTCCTCTCCCTGTATTTCTTCCTCTCCCTTTATCTCTTCCTCTCCCTGAGCTCCCTCTATCCTTACAACATCTACAGAGGCACCTGCATTAAATGATAGCAACATATAAATTGTAGCATAATCCATGCACCTTTGTCTTGTTGTGCGATATTAGAAGGAAGCATACTACTTGGTCCTGGCACATCTTTTGACACACACACAAAATATTCAACTGTTACTTTTCTAATGTACAAACTAAAGAAGTTAAACATTTTATATTAATGCAATATACTGTATACATTATGAAATGAATAAAATCATGGCCTCAAAAAAGCTTAGTGAAATGTGATTAAAAATACAATAGTCTTATTGGTTTTTACCTGCCCATTCCTGAGAGTAATCAGGCTCTTCATTAATATGAATGGCCGATTGTTGTATCTGAGGACCTAAGAAGCAATCAATGTTATTGACGGAATGCTAATCATTTAGGAAATCACGTCGGCATGGTTTAGCTTTTTTTTTTTGCTAGCTTACCGCGGTCTGATGCCTCTTCATCAGCGGAGCTGGAGCACTTTTTATAGAAAAAAAACGACCAACGTGGCACATTTGGCTGCTTCAGCTTCAAGAGCTTGTCTTTTTTTTTTTATCACATTTTTTCTGCTCCGCCCTTGATGTTGTTCCTTTCCATTTTACAAATACTCGAGCTGGACAGATGTCGTGAGAGAGAGAGAGAGAGCTGAATCAGGGTTACATCTGCAGCAATTGGGTACTCAGTCCTGGTCTAATGCTTCTGTAACCTCTCGTTCCTCCAGGAGCACCCTCTGCTGGGACAGACGTTCTTCATGTTACATCCCTGTAAAACAAACACCTTCATGAGACCAGTGCTGCAGGCGGCTCAGAGAGAGAACAGGTGAGACCAGAGAGAGTCCAGAATGAGCCCATAGAGAGGGCAGGTGAGAAACGTATTTGTTGCTGACCTAAAACCATATTTGCACACTGCACCGACCTGCACTGGTCTATGGGTTCAAATCCATTCAATTTATTTTTGTATCGCCCTAAATCACAGGAGTAGTTATTTCTGAGGATTTTTCTTAGGTGTCGATTCACCAACACAGATCAGAAAATCCAACCGTAATGCAATAATAAAGAACACACAGAACCATTGGTCCATAAGGAACAGATGACCAATGTCCATAAATGTCCTGAATAGTCCTGGATCATCGCCACTGTCCTTAGACGCTCCTGCATCGGCATGGAACAACTCAAACTTAGTGGGAAAAAGTGAGAAACCTCTGGGAGGCCCACATTGACAAGACAAGATACTCCTTTATTGTCCATTTAGTGACAAGGGTCCCTATATTTACATAGACGCCACGAACATTTACCACAATAAACATTCAATAGACCACAATAGACACCGGTTAGAGAGCTATCAGAGACCTCTAGGACCAGAGAAAAAAAGATTGGGTAAACAGAACATCAAGACGAAGCACCACACTGAGGGAGGGATCCACCCCCATGGATACACTATAGATCCACCTCTCTTTGGTGTCTCTGGTGTTTCCAGGTTGAAAGCAGTGGACAGTAGCAGTGGCGGATGTGTTAATAGAAATTGAGGTCTTTGTTGGGACATGGAAAAAATTAAGAGTAGTGTAAATCTTTTTGTTTCTCAGAGCAGTGAACTATGTGCTGACGTGGCTCAGCGTGGTGGGACCTCTGGTGGGTCTGGAGGTTCCTCTAGAATACTGCTCAGGCTCTAGAACAGACCAGACCTGATCTACAGACTGTAAACCAGACCAGACCTGATATTTCTGCACTCGTCTTCCCTCCAGGTAGATCTCTTCCCAATTCTCTTGTGTTCAAGGTGCGTTGCTGTGACTGTCCCTACTGCATTCATGCATTTCTTTCTCCTCTCAATCTGTAGCCTCAAATAACACAGGTCTCCTCCTTCCATACTTAGGACACGGGCCAGTGTGTCAGAACGACTCGGCTTCCAACCTACCTTGTGAACTAGTGTTTTTATGAACACAGCATGAAGGATTGCATCTTCTCTCCGTTTAATGCATTGTGATTATGTATGATTTTAATATTTACAGAGGGTAGAGGGCTTGGTATACATCACAGGGGTTAGAGACCTCAGTATACATCGCGGAGGGTTAAATGGCTCAGTATACATCGCAGAGGGTTAGAAGCCTCCGTATATATCGCAGAGGGTTAGAGGTCTCAGTATTCATCACAGAGGGTAGAGGTCTCAGTATTCATCACAGAGGGTAGAGGTCTCAGTATTCAACACAGAGGGTAGAGGTCTCAGTATTCAACACAGAGGGTAGAGGTCTCAGTATTCAACACAGAGGGTAGAGGTCTCAGTATTCAACACAGAGGGTAGAGGTCTCAGTATACATCACAAGGGTTAGAGATTGTACATCCCAGAGAGAAAGAGGCCTCAGTATATCAACATTAATTGAATGCTATGTGTGTTTTGAATGTTTCTTTTCTTGTTTTGTGTTTCACTTTGAGTTATGTATGAACTGTGATATACAAATAAACTCGCCTTGTCTATTTTAGACACAATAAAAAAAGTGTTTTCTTGCCTGCTGCTCACATGTGGCTCAGGGAAAGGTTTCAAAACTACATCTTTATTTCACAATAAATGTGTTTTATATTGTTAACATACACATTCTATTCAGTCTTATGCAGCTTTACAATAAAAAAATATCAATATAAAATATATGGATATTGGGCCTCATGTATGAAAGTTGCGTAGAAAAGGGTGTATATTTTGTTCCCACATGCGCGTTGCATCCTCTCTGCTATGCGGAGAACAGGGCAGTGGATGAGCAGTTTTGAGCAAGATCAATTGCGTTTATGGGGCTTTATGCACAAAACTAAGGAAAACCCACATTGCTTTGCCAGAGGTGAATGAGGCAAAACATATGCGTAATTACGTATACGGCGCAGGGTCTGGTTAGTGAGTAAACGGCTAAGGAAAAATAACTTCACGGAGCAGGAGATTGAGACCATTATGAACGAAGTGGGAAAAAGAATAAAGTCTTACTATTTGGAATTCTCAAAATTGGCATCAAGGGATTCAAAAAACAATATATGGGAAGAACTGACAGCATCTGTAAACAGCGTGGGGCCTGCAACACGCACTCCTGAAGAGGTGAGTTATTCATGTTCGAAGAAAAATACGCTATGTTATATCAAACAGTTGATATATTGGGCCAATAGTAAGAATTAATTAATTTATGCTACAAGTGAAAAAAAGGGAGCAACCTTAAAATGGTAACAAAAAGGCGTTTAGGGCAGCCCATAGAAGAAGTGCTCAGCTGTCCGGGGGAGGACCGCCAGACCAAAGCATCCAAAAGAAAATATAAAGAAATAAAATTATCTTTAAATTATGTATGTGATTATTATTTTAAAATGGTTGAATGAGAGCCTGTCTGAGCTGTATAAGGCCGAAGGCGGTGCTGGCCATGGTCTCTCGGGCTGCTCCACCAGTGGCACAATGTGGTCCTGTGCCTGTTGTGGAGAACCGAACCAGGACCATGTGGCACACCTGTACCGGAGGTACCAGAGCGTACCCCCTACACAGTGATGTGTAGGGGGTACTAACGCCGTTACTTTTTTCAGTAACGAGTAATCGTTGCCGTTATCATTTCCGACATCCCGTTACTGCGCGTTACTCAAGACGCACAATGAACTTCTCTTTTTACTTCGTGATAGGACTCGTGCGCGTGTTGTCATGAGAGAAGGGAGGATGAGAAAACCTCTCAGCAATTATTGGCTGATGTAAAACATATTTCCTTTACAATCTACATGTCTACAGTTGAGAGGATGGGTCATAAATTGTGTTTTTGAAACAAATATGGGTCTTAATCGCGCTCAACCACGGCTTGTATCACCGTGAGGTCAGCCTGTGAGCGCAGAAGTCGGCTGCATACAATTCCATCGATAAGCTCCTTTCTCTTCCTGGTTTATCTACTACGGGCAGCAACAGGTTTGGCTAACATACATATAACACATTTTAAGATGCACTTAGGGTAATTTTTCAATGACTATAGGAATGATAAGAAAGAAAGGTGAAGTGTAAGACAGTTGATTTTAGAAATTGGATGCACCCGACTGCATCTAGCAAAACAGGCGTTTATGGAGGACACACGGGTTTTGTTTTACTTTTTAAAACTCATTGGACTCATTTCCAAATGGAGGATTACATATCTACGCTCAAACTATTATCTGGACTTAAACACGGAACTGTTCTGAACCGAAGTGGTCTGTGCAGGTCATTTATAAGGTAAGACCCATAACTCATAGTTTTGCGTTTTGTATGAACGAACTGCGGGCATGAAACATTTTGCTGTAGCCAAACAAATTGTCCCATGATTTATATGATATATATGTTCATCTGATTGGGCTGAAGTCAGTGCTTCACCGGTGTTTCCACATTCACAGTGGCTGGTGTTGGTGTTTAGTGCTTACAGCACAGAGAGAGATGAAGAGTGAACAGGACTTCAGCAGCAAAACAGCCTTTTCTAGATGGAAATATCACCACTATTTCAGACTCACTGAGGTTAAAGGTAAAACTGCGCACGTCGAGTGCACATTATGTTCCAGAACAAAACGAAAAAGTAACGCAATAGTTACTTTTACTGGTAACTAGTTACTTTTATAGTGGAGTAACTCCGTTAGTAACTCAGTTACTTTTTGGGAGAAGTAACTAGTAACTATAACTAATTACTTTTTCAAAGTAACGTGCCCAACACTGCCCCTACATGTCCCAGAGCCTGATCAGACCCGCGCAGCGCTCGGTGGCGCGCGTCTATGCTTGGACTCGCATGAACCAAATGCCATTACGCACTGATTGTAGGTGCATATAACAATCCACACATTTGTGGGAGACTAAGTTTGACATCTTGCACGTTATTTAATAACACAAACTAGCCCTAACATAACATCGTAAAATTGAATATTTGTAATGTGAGAGGTGTGCCAACAATCTTGTCAGAGTGGGAATATGTTTATTTTTGTCCAAATCTTGCATTTCATGCGTGTTGTAATGAAGGTTGAAATGAGCGTACACATTTACACCATCTCCAGACCTGGCGTATATTTTTTGCGTATCGTACGCTCACGTCCAGATTGATAAATGCGGAAAAGTGTAAATATTTTGCGTACGCATCATTTACACCCTGATTTGGCCGTACGCAAGTTTCATACATGGGGCCCATTGTGTGTATTTATTATCTTCATAATGATGAGTTATCAAATTACTTTTGGTACTTCAACCTTTTTGTAGTATTTGCTGGAGTATGATTCCTCTTTTATATCAGGAGGTTACTGCAATTTGTAGAATTGAGAACCGCACAGTATTCTATACATTTTACCATCACATAGTTTCCACTGTTATGCATAATATAGACCTAAGGTGTAAATATAAAACTATTTTGACTTGTATTTCAAGTCAAGTGTTATAAAATGCCAGCAAACCTTACACAATTCTTGTAAATGTTTTCTACATGCTTTTCCATATACAATTTGACGTATAAAATATTGCTTTGTGTTGGATTTGACTGGTCTCTCTCTGTTCTCTCTCTGGCCAGTACTATTTATCTTTAAAACCTGATTATGTTTTCTGCCCTCCCTATTCTCCTGTTTCTCTGGTTCTCTTTGTAGTATGGGGGCTTCATGTGGAGCTACGTGTCCCAGCCATAGGGCCTCCAAGCTGGGCACGAAGCCAGTCCTTCAGCCGACCTCAAGTGGAAGCCTCTCCCTTTCCTCCACAAAGAAGGATATCATGGGCACCATTCATAGCAATCAGAGTCAAACTGACATTTTCCACATGGCATCTATTACAGTTAGGGTTCATCCGTTTTTTTCCCCCAGACATTGTGGCCCTCATTATGAAATTTGCGCAGAAAAAGGTGTACATTTTGGGTGTAGATTCAAAATACACAAGATCCAACGTCGGATTTATAAACGTGTGAGATCCGCCCAGACCTGAGCGTACGCACCTGCGGGTGTTCATAAATCCCGCAGCTGAATACGAACGTATTTATGAAAGTCACGCCTAGAATTATGCAGTAATCGCCTGTTTCATGCCCCGTTTTTACGACAGGTCAGCATGGAAGTCGGCCAAAAAGACTGTTTGGAAGCCTTAAAGGCCTGTGGCACATTTGTTTGTTCATGTTTATGTAGAAAATAAATATACGCTATATTCAGCTGCGTTTCCTTTGAACATATTTGATTTTTTTTTTGATACATTACAAAAATCTCTCTTGAATTGTAGAAGTAAATAAAGAATTAATTCATAAATATTTTTAGCCTCAGCAGTGGCTCTCATCAATAACTGAATGAAGCGTCTGCAACATCTTGTGAATGCAATGGAGCGATCTCTGTAAGAGAGGATTAGAAGCTTTTGTGAAGTTGTGGTCCAGTTATGCGGCGCGACCTCTTATGGCACCCGCTGCGCACTGCCCAAGAGAGCGTTGCCATCCTGTCTATAAACTGCTACACGTGGACAGGGCAGTGTGACATTTGGAGTGAGCAATACCATAGTCCGGTGTTTTTCAACAACTGTGCCGTATGATATTGGCTGGTGTGCCCTGAGAAATTCGCCAACTTTGTCTAAAAATAACTACATTCACTATTGACGAGCGATGACTTGTCTTGAACTGTGGAGTAACCAAGTAATACTTTTTCATATCAGTAGGTGGCAGCAGATAGCTAAGTACTTTGAAATTTAAGAATTGGATGCAACCACCAAATGCGCGGAGAGTGGCGAGAAATGTAAAAATTGGACGCGACCAACCAGCGTAATGGTGCGTTCAGACCAAACGCGATTTCTGCGGCCAAAGCGGCGGGTCTACATTGACACAACATGGGGGACGCGCGCCAAGGAGCGACGAGAGATCACGCGGCGCGATTCGCGCGGCCAGAGCGGCGCAAATTGGAGCGTTTCGCGCGATTCGAGCGTTTCGCGCGATTCGCGCGGCGTGTTTTGAGATGT